CTATATAAAATATTTATGTCTCATGCTTTGGGGACATCACAATTGTAGAGTGTGCCAAATTGGACACTTTTGAAGGGAAATTCCTGTTTCCAAACTAGATAGATTAAAACTGACGGCTGTGTCTGAGAGTCAAATTTTTTAACAGACTTAATGGTGAAAACCGCATATCGATATCTATCATTGTTTCTGAGTTATAGCATGTTTTTCAAAAATATGCATTTTCGAAAAGTTACTGTAACTTTTTCCTGTCAAAAATTTCTTGTTTCTATGAAAACATTTCCAAAACACTTTTTCACGTAGTATTCAACGGTGTAAAAAATTTTTTTTTTCAATGATATATCAATAGTTACTAATGGAAAACAATTTTTTTCAATGGGACACCCTATATATTTCTGCATATTTCAATAGAGCTTAAAATTAGTTTTTCAAAAATGTAACACTCTTGATGTTTTGCTAAAGTCATCTTTTAAATACAGAGCTTTTAGGTTTTTTCATGTATACATTGAAACACAGACTTTGATCAAGTAGGTTTTGGACGACACGGCGATAAAACAGAAAGAAATTGTTCAGTAGTAGCTATTAAATGTTGAGAAAGCTTAGCACAGCGGTAATTAAAAGGCATAGTTTCGATGAAACTGATGACAATTTATACTATATTTACCACTAATGAATGAAACTTCAACAATAGTAATAATGATAAAGAACAAACAATGAAATATACAGTGCATTTCTTTAATGTCCCCCCCTTTATTTTTTGAACGGGCAACTCAAAAAATTGGAATACTTTATTTTGAAGTGAAATTGACAGATGATAGTTTCAAGATGGCGACTGGGCGCCATCTGGAAAAAAAAATTAATGGAAAGGGGGGTCTTGTGACACATAATATTTTTGAGGCTCTTGACAAATACTTCCCAACCCTAGAATATAATGTCAATATCTTCAACTACTACAAAATGGCGGAACTTTTGATAATTGCCTGAATACATTGACATTTAACTACATAATATGAGGTAATAAGCTTGAGGTCAGTTCAGAAGATGCTCGAAATGGTTGCCTTGAACTTCCTATGAACAGCCTATCCGACATTTCATGCCGAATATTTTCGAACACAGCAACGTCAATATCTCTACAAATATTTATTATTCTCTGCCGTATATTCAATATTGAAGCAGATTCAGTTAAGTACACCTTTTGCTTCAAATAGCCCCATAAAAAAAGTCCAAAGGTGTCAAATCTGGCGAGCGGGCTGGCCATTCTGTAGGACCTTGACGGCCAATTTGGATTGGCCGTCGATATTTGGATACTACTTTTCGCGGTCGTTAGCGACCGGGAAACAAAAAATAACTTAACAAACCTTATCGGGTTGTTGGAATTGCCATATGGCAGATAAAAAGGAATATTTCTAGAAATATCGATATTAATGTGTTTGTATTCAGGAAATTATTAAATGTTCCGCCATTTTGTAGTAGGTGAAGATATTGACTTCATATTCTAGGGTTGTGAAGTATTCGCCACAAGACCCCCTGGCGTTGGTTCGCCAGTGTTGTGAGGCGTAGTCCCGTCTTGTTGAAAGTATATTTTTCTAAGGTCCAGGTTCTAAGGTCTAAGGGAGTTCAAGATTTTACCTTAAAATTTCAAAATACCTCTGAGATGTGCGAGTGCCATATAAATGAAGAGGCCAATAATTCTACCCTTGAAAACACACACACACTAAATCCAAATCTTCCTTGACTTCTCTGCCCCACAATAGAATGAAGATATTGTTGTGTCCAAGTATAAGAATTATAGCGGTTCAAAATGCCGGCACTGCTCACATAAGCTTCCTGTCCAAATACAATTTAACGAAAAATCAGGCACATAGTTACAACTTTTCAGGAACCACTGACAAAAAGTCATGCGGCGTTCAAAATCTCCTGATCTAAGTTGATGAACTCTTCTGGTCCTGTTTGGCTTGGATTTTTTTTTCCAAAATCCCCATAACGTTAGTTCTTGATAGGCCTGTTGATATTTTAAAATTTCACGTTGTTATTTTGGGATTACTTTCAACAGCTCATTAAACAACTATTTTTTCTAAATCCTTGTCCCTATTTGATTCAAATAATTTTGGCCTTTTCTTTTCAAATTGACCACCATCGATTAGATTGTGTCGCAATCTTGAGAAAATGTCTCTAAAAGGGTGTCTTCTCTCTGGATACCTCTCGTAATACAAATGGCTTGCTGCTTCTGCATTTTACCTGGTTTGTATAATACAGACTATCATATCCCACTTTTCATAATTATCATACTTCATTGCGAATGTGTTTGAAAATCAAAATTTGACAGCTACCAGTAAAGATTGGCATTCTGTTTTTTCTTCGCCACATCGTTCAAAGCCTACTTGATCACAATGTGCATTTCAAAGTCTATATGAAAAAAACTTAAAGCTCTGTATTTCAAAGATGACTTTAGCAAAACACAAAATGTGCTACATTTGGTAAGCTCTAAGCTCTACTGAAATATGCAGGAATATACAAGGTGTCAGTTAAAAAAAAATAGTTTTCCATCAATAACTATGGATATCTCCATTTGAAAAAATTTGTTTTTTACACCATTGAATACTACGTAAAGAAGTGTTTTGGAAATATTTTCATAGAAACAGAAATTTTTGACAGGAAAAATGTTACAGCAACTTTTTGAAAATGCACATTTTCGAAAAACATAGGTACTTAAGTCAGAAACAATGATAAATATCGATATGCGGTTTTCACCATTTTTGTCATAAAATTCGACTGTCAGACACAGTCATCAGTTTTCATCTATCTAGTTTGAAAACCGTTGTTTCTCTTAAAATGTGTCCAATTTGGCCCACTCAATACCCATGAGTTTTCCTTAGACAACAGATAATGACAATAGTGAGGTTCTGGAAATGAGAGGGCTGAGGGAAAAGCCCTGAAACACACCACCTCTGAAAGAGACCTGGTTTTGTTTGAACTCTAGCTCGAGATGCCTTGAGATATATTCTCAAGGCATCTGAGAGAATCTTCTTCGATTGACGACTTGTTTATTATGTGGAAATTCATGTTCACTGAGAATACACTAAAAAAACACACTTTTGTCTATTTTCCACTATATTTCTTTTATTGTTGACCGGTTTCGGCTATTACACCATTTTCAAAACTAACTGATTACATTTAAATCTGAGTAATTTATACCTATGTTGCTTATTCTATCATAAATGATTTGATATACCTGATACCCGGTACCTGCGTTTCATATACCTGCAAAATCCATGAACATAACAAAGCTTTCAATATAATGTAGGTTTTGGGATCTGGATTATAGGTTCAGGAGAGGACTATTATTTAAATCAAGTTGTTCGTTGAGGACAATAGAATTGGGATTTTTCTTTGACCTGTTTATTTCCATAGATTCCAACAGATTCATCATTTTCCCTTTTTCGCATGTGTGTAGGATGTTTAAATTATCTTTATCTATTTTATGTTTCGAATTTTGAAGATATTCTTCAAAATTCAAAATGTGGATACCTTCAAAATATTTCGGCACCTAGAAATTTATTCGGACTAAACATATTTTTCGATTTCTACTAGTTTCGAAGTTTGGTACTTATGGTTCAACAACCATTGATACATTGAGGTATTGAGGTTGAAATTTTGATGTATTGAATTTGGCGTCACAACTTACAAACAAGAATGGATATCAAAGTTGAATAAAACTTACATAAAATGTCTCATTTATAATACTTTTTAGCAATAATGTGAAGTCACTCGTCTTCGAGAAAGCGTTATCCATGATAATAATTAAACAATTTTCACAAACATTTTTTCGCTAACACCGTAGTGAAACTATAGTGTTAGCAAAACGTGTCTAGAAATAAAAAATGTGAGTCAAGGATTTGTTTCCAGGATGATTATTTAGATTAAAATTCCCAATAATTTCTGTAAATGTATGGCTTTAAAACAGGTGATGGAAAAGTAATAACAGTATTTACGTTTGATTTGAAATGGTTATATTTTTAGGAGTGATTAATTTTTTGGGAAAGAAAGTTTTTGGCTTTCTACTACTCCATCTGATACAAAAAAATGGATGATAGAATCTTCCAAAGAAAGGAAGGATTAATCAATTTGAAAATAAGTAACTCTATACATGGATGTGTAGATCATGCAAAGAAGTAACTTTCAGACACAAACTGAAAGAAAGTCCTCCTGAAACAGCTACTTTCATATAAACATTGAATTACACGAAAGAAAAAATTCTTTCTTTGGAAGATTCTATCATCCATTTTTTTGTATCAGATGGAGTAGTAGAAAGCCAAAAACTTTCTTTCCCAAAAAAAGTATTTACGTATTTCAGTAACCGGTATATTGTAGCTGTTGCAGTAATGATGTTGAGTGAAATGTGCTGTTCCATCAGATCTGTACCAATATTGAAATTTGACCAAGCTCGTGTACTATCAGTTCGACATAAGGTCGCCAGTGTTCGATTATTATGAAGTTTTCAATATCTCAATACAGTTTTGAATTTTGTTGAAAAGATATTGCATATGCCAGTGGATATAAGCAGGTACTGAATTTGGTGATAGTTCCCTCCAAATATAGCGAGGTAATTTCACTAATTTTGTATACCTTCTAGAAGCCATTATTTGGACCACAAAGGATTTTTAGATACGACAACATAGAATTTTTTGCTATGCTATTAAAGTGTTGGACCCGCCTACAGCTATAGCCACTTTTCTAGTATTTTTAGAATAATCCTTAAATAGCAGCCGAAGTAGTATTAGCAGTAATAACATAAGTATAATATGTAAAAAAAACTGTTAATATGAATTGTTTGAATTAATTGACCACTCAGAAAGCTGTTTGAAAATGATTAAAATCAATCAGTTTCAACCTATTTATAATAACAAATCATACAGAGATCTGGATTCATAACAATTTTTGTATATAAATAACAGAAATATAAATGTTAGATTAATATGTGATTACTGTAAAATATTACTTACGTGGGAAGGGAAAAGATGTGGTATAGTAGTAGTAGATAAACTCTGCATGAATGATATTCGTGTTTTTTGGAAGACCTGTTCGACCCCTTTCACCTGAAAATACAAAGTTGATTGATGAAAAAATCTTTTTGAGTAAATAAAAAATATTTATTTGTAAATAGAGTGCTTCCAAAAAGTAACGAATATTTATTTGAAATCATTGACAAAAATATTTCACCCATCCGTTCATCCTTAAAGGCTGGAAAACCCAACTATAACTATTCAAAGGGCAAAATACCCCCTGGGAACCCTCAATTGGTAGATTTTTTTGGTTGACTGCAACAAAAACATTTTTCTGTACGGAAACAACAGAAATTTGGAAGATAATATTTAAATATGAAAATTTCAAGCTGTTATGTATTAATGACGACAAGCTCTTTTTCGATGACAAGGGTTTGTTGAATTTTGTCTGCTATTTATGAGATGACTCAGTTGAAATCAACAAGACTTAGTGAGACACTTTGTTCAGCAAACATTTTACAGAACTGCAACACATGCTTTATTGTTATACTACACAACTACTACAATATTGTATAGTGAAACTTGTGATTCTGTGAAAATTTCATCAAATAGTTCATGATGAATTTTCATCAAGAATCAGCTAAGATTCCACAACTGAGTAGAGTTCTTGACCAATTTTTTTTTCTTAAAAGTTCATGTAAACATTTGTTGGAAAAAATACCAATCAAAATACCATTTAGTTCATTTGGTTAACTATATGTACAGTGAAAAGAAAAATGAAAATTTCTATGTTTTTTACCACTTTTATTTGTAACTAACGTTACTGCAGTTTCGTCCAATACGGACATTTTCAAAAAACATAGAAATTTTCATTTCTCTTTTCATTATGATTTTCTACCACGTACTAACAGCTACATCCATCAATTTATATTTATAGTCTTTAATACGATTTTCTTATAAATCAAAGATACAAATCAAATACATGGCAATATTTGATGTTGGAAAATCTGGGAGAATCCAAAAATTAAAGTTCTCATGAATGAAGTCCCGAGCAACAACTAGTTTATGATAAAACAATTAAGGATTTGTGATGGAGAGTGCCATCATTGTCCTACCAAATCACTAAAAATTATCATCTGATAATTCTTGTACAAAGTGTACTTTTTATGGATGAAAGTTGTGCTTATGATGTCTTATATCTAGAAACTGAAGTGGATGAAAGTGTTTTATGTCCCTTCTTCATGTCTAACGTGGTAATATTATTAATTTTCAATTTGATTTACCGCTGATCATGATATTGGTAACTGGTGCTATTGACTTCTACTTCTCCAGCTAATCATTAAGTTTTGAATTTTTCAGTTTCAGTAAGATTCACTTTTACTCTTATTTATTGAAGGGTTGAAAAAATAACACCAATAAATCCACTTAAGTGTGGACCGGTTGGTAGCCAGTCGGTTCGACGTGGGTGCTTGGCTCATTCACCCAAATCGACCGCCGTGTTGGTCAGTGGTTCAAGCCCCAAGCTGAACGATCGATTTTCACTTGCTATCGTCCAACCCGTGTTAGGAAGGTATGACCTCGTTAGTCCTTAGCTCGCAGTTTCAATTTCTGAGGGTTGTCGTTCGTAGGGGTGCGACAGAAGGTTAACGGAAAAACCAGATTTTGAACAGATTTTTAAACATAAATAATAAACAAATTGCAATTACTCAATATCGTTTATTTTTTGATGAGGCCAACTCGGTTGTGAAAAGTGTGGCAAGATTGTTTCAGTTCTAATGTGTGTGAGCAGAGCTTGTTTTAGATTAATTTTCTTATTGGTCAGTGGGCTATGCTTGAAGACAGGCAGTAAACAAATCTAAAGAAATGAACTTCAAATGTTCAAGCCACTCTCGGATATACCTACACAGTAGGTTGAATGGACTGACGCCTATCAGAAAACAACTACTTCTATCGGATATAATCCAACGCCGTTCATGGTATTAGCCAGTGGAGTAGTTGTTTTCTGATAGGCGTACGTCCATTCAACCTACTGTGTAGGTATATCCGAGACTGGCTTGATCATTTAAAGTTCATTTCTTTAGATTTATTTTTCAAATACTGTGATACCCTTTTCAAAAATTCCCATTTGAACATTGGCAATCTGATTTGTAGTGTCCGACCGAAAGTTCGGTTTCGGTCGAGTTTCGGCAAAAAAAACGAGTTTCAGTTTCGGCGGCAAACCTGCCGAAACTACGACCGAAACCGTATTCGGGAGTTCTCGCGCTATGATCGGTCATGTTCGGCACGTTGAATTTCATACAAGCGACGAAGACATTTTGCCGCGTCCACGTGCTTAATCATATGTCGTGACTTACTTTGTGATTTACATTGTTTATTACATAAATATTAAATACCTATTGTGATGTTAGGTAACAACTTAAATAAGTAATTTTATATTCAATATTTTTGAAAAACCATTAATAATATTCAAAAGAAGAATCTACACCTACTCAAATAAACATATCACCCATTTTAAGTACTTTTGAGGTGCAATTAATATTTTTTCTTAAATAAGGGGTTTTTATGTTGATTTGTTGATTATCAATAAGTAAAAGTGTCAAACACTGCATAACGTTGTGATTTAAAATTAAAAAAATGAAGACTGACTGATTGTAATAAAGTTTTCTTAATTTTTTCCTCAGAACATAATCCCTTTTATGGAAGTTTCGGTTTCGGCTGAAACTGAGACCGTTGCCAAAATTCGGTTTCGGTCGTAAAAACCAGTTTCGGTCGGACACTACTGATTAGAATATATTTTTGTAAATTTTCCATTGTTCATTAATTGATTTTGACAATTTTTATTGTATTTGCTATATTAAAATCAATCAACGGAATTGTGGCAAGGGTACCTTGCTATATGAATTTCTGAACTTGAAACTATATGGTGGAATTTTTTGGGCAGTGCTTTATTTCAAATTATCAGATTTTTTTTAAATGTATCATAAACACAATATTCAAAATTAACATCGTCAAACTTTATATAAGGTATGTTTTAGAGAGATTAACTATTTTCTCTTATTTTATTATTACAAGATAAAGCATAAGAATATTTTAAAGAAAGGAAACAACAAATATTGATACAAACACTTTATAGAAATAACAACTGCTGTAGCAGATTCGTTTTTAACAATGTCAGTTATTCGAAAAGAAATTGTGAATTGACAGTTATCCAAAATACTATTGGTTGATAAAAACATGGTTTTCTCACTTTGACACTCAAATATTCCTGCAAGTTCCCTTAGAGATACTGTATGTCCAAGATAAGGAAGACCGACATGGGAAAATTGAAAACTGTCGATTGAATTAAAAAAAAGTTAACCATTTAAGAACGTTTTTGAATTACATTTCAAAATTCACGAAATTCTGATCATTTTCGGAGTTATTCAAAAGAATCGAAATTCTCCAATTTTGTTTTAATTTTTTCTGACATTCTCAGTGCCACTTTTCGAATTGTATAATATGGTGTTTACAGATGTTCAATCAGACGTTTCGTCTCCGAGAAACCATCACCAATTTAATTTTTTATATAGACCCAAAAAAAAGAATTCTTGGTTAGCTAGTCTTTTTGGTGACAACTCTATTGATATATCACACTTAATTGGAATTTTCGAAATTTAAAAAAACTTTCAAAACTGTCTTCATAACAAGTGTTGAAAAATAAGATGGAAACAGCAGTTGAAGATTTATGAAATAAGCTACAACAAAAATATATGTTGGTCAGAATAAACGAACACTCGTTTTAAAGAGCATCCAGTGTATATTCAACTTCGTAGGCCAGAAAAGTCTAGAGTCCATCAAATCACATGTTAGAAAACGACGATAGAATGAAGCACCATTCACACCATCAGTTCAGTCACGCTTGAAACATTAGAAAAACTACTTCACTACTTCACTTTACAAGAAACCATTGCATGGATATCAATATAGGGCAGGTACATCAATAGAAATGGCTTCATGTCATGTCACGAAAAAAGCAGCATAATCATATGCTTATAAAACCAATAAATCACTTTGCTTCAGGACAAAAATTAAATAATGAAATGAGAACACGCTTAACATCATACATGTTCACTTTTGATATGACAGCTGAAACATACTGTATGGGTACTTTACAGCTACCCATTCAGTCAAGTCAATATTCTTCTTTCATGATGATGGTATGAAACCCTGTAATGTGCAAAGAACAACAATTTGAGAACCATTGAATTCTTTCTTATCTTATCAGCCTGCACTCAGGTTAATGAACCTAAAAACAATGTAATAACTGAAGATTTGGTGGTCACAAACCAAACATCTGGTTGCCAAGACACTCGGGAATCATAGGAAACAAAAAATCTGATGTGTGTTCCTGACACGAATTACAAACCGTCTGAGCAAATAACCAAAGAACTGCTTCAACGGAGTAAGATCTGTTCAGAATAACTACAAGCCTGCTCAGTGGAGGGAACAAAATATCACTGTAACTTAGCTGCAGATAATGTAAAAAAGGGATAGAGCAGATCTTCATGTCTATTACGAATGTGAGGCATTAGATTACAATAGGCAAGAAATTTGTATACAGCCAAAACAAAGTGCAAAAGAATATGTCAAATATCCAACAAAGAACTTGTACAAACAAACTAGTATAGGCTTCCAAACAGCAAAGGAAATGAGAGTGAGGGTTCAGTCTATTGATGTAAATAGGCTTAGTTAGTGTTTAGGAATTAGTTTGGATATCTCCTGATGACACCAATTTATTTTGTGGAGCATGCATTAATAGTTCTGGTGTGTGGGAGAAAAAAAAATTAGTACGAATATGATTCTTACATCACAAGATGACAATCAGATCAGATGGTGAATTAAGTGTGCTCACTGTAAATAATGAAATATTCAGTGACAAAACCTAAAATGTTGTATAACCAAAGTCGTTGAAATAACAATATACCCCTTTCAATTTAAATTAAAACCATATTTTCAAGACAAAAATCATCCATGGGCATTCTTTGAAGTTCATTGAATTGGTCATGCTTTGAAGTTCATTGAAAGATATTAGTCCTAAACATTATGGAGAGTCATTTTTCACTTTTATTGGGAGAATGGTATACAGAAATTTTCACATTGTCTGGTATTACCATGATGACATTTTTTGTTATGAATAAACTTTGTTCTGTTAGCAAATTACATAAAGATACATGTCATAAGCATAAAGAGATACTACAGTTACAGGTCATATTAGAAATCACTCCACAAACATATATCGTATCTTAATATTTTGTTTTGTCTGAAATTATCATTATTATCATATGCATAAATAGAAAAATGTGCTTTTTTTTCAAAAACTACACCTCACGATTTGATCTTCACAAACTTTATTTTGAAAAATATATCACAATATGTTTCGCTAGCACAGCAGCTTTTTCAAGTGATTTAAAAAAAGCTACTGTGCTAGCGAAACATGTTGTAATATATTTTTCAAAATGAAGTTTGTGAAGATCAAATCGTAAGGTGTAGTTTTTGAAATTACTATGGATCTTCATCAAATAACGGCCGAATCAATGAGTCGAGTTCATTGAAGTTCATTAACATCACAAACAAAAGAGAATTATCTATACTTCAAAACTAGTTTATCAGTTGTCAACCTCATCGGAGTGGAATTAATTTCTGATATTCTATAAATCAGTTAAAATGAGCCTTTGAAAGTTTATTCATATATGTGGATTCCTTGCATCAAAGTACTGTGATAAAAATATCGTGACCTTACCAAAAAGCAACTCTTTCAATCCTTGTTTGTTATTGGAAGTTGTTACTTTGTATACAATAAAATCATTCATCCTCACAACAGCACAAGTGGTCATTATCTTTGACAACTGCATCATCATTTTCATCTTGTTTTCCTTTTGACGTCCACTTTCATTTTGTTTCGTATTTTCAGTTGCCCTAATTCCATATTCCTATATTAGAAACAATACGAATTAATATCTGACTTGAATAATGTTCTCAGAAACGATAAAATTATGAGTTTCAATAAGATGATACACAATATATGGAAAGGACGATGACTCTGAGATTAACAGAAGACTTGAACCCTGAATATCAGTCTTGTAAAACGAGGCTCCCAAAGGTGATTAGTTCCAAAGTCAATCTATGACATCGACCTCTCAATGAGATTTGTTTTCTGTCTATTTCTGCAACTTTCAATGCAAGCAGACAACTAGATGATAAAAAAGTCCGAAAGTGTGGCATTTAATTTCGTACAGCAGACAACACTGTTTCAATCTGCCATAATATATTTCATCAGTGGTAATGGCCGGGTTATAGTTGCAACTCTTGAACTCTTCCTCCCCTAACAGAAATAACCATGCCATCATCTTTAACAATTCAGGGTGGTTCAAGTTTCTTGTCGATCCCAAAGATGACATCTTCCTAAGGAGACAGGTTATCTCACTTTCCTACTCAAGGTCTTTCCAGTGGATAAACTGCAGTCAATAGAAATGGCAAAAAGATTGTTTTAAGTAGGTGAAGAATTTGTAAAAAGTAAAATAGCTATAACTTGAGTCCCGCAAAGTCCCAAAGGCATGACTTCAGTTACGTTTCCATTCATCATTTTTTCCTGTAAAACTTTTTCAGCTTTCTGTTTTTATCCTCAAGTTCACCAATCACTCAATTTTTTGCGATTTGCTCGTTTACATGTTTTACATTACTCACACCTACTGCAGGACATAAAACCATGTTAATTTTTTCATAAATGCTTCAAATGCATTATTTGTTGTGAATGTTCTCATAAAACCCAGTCAGTATCAGCTAGTCGTGTCCTGAGTTCTTGTAAGTTCTCGTCACTAAATTTACTATCAAAATTTGTAGTTATGTCCTAAAAATCAATTGGTGATACATGAAATATCAATTAAAAGAAATGTGTTTAGCTAATAGAGTATCATGTAGGTATACACTGAAATCATCTTTTGTATTTGCAACAAGGTAGTGAATTGCTGTAGAACTCATTATAATCATGTTTATTTTCACAGTTGATGTTTTAGTTGCAGGTGAAGGTAATTCAAAATATATAACCGACTTCTAACTTTGAAGATTTTCCAGACCCTAATAATGTATCGCTTAAAAAACAACCTGTTTATCGACTATGAAGAGTTTATGCAATAACCCTCAAAGACAACAATGTTTCGAGAAGTTCTGTGCCAATGTATTCAAGTGTATTTTTCAATCTGAAATCGATCTCAAGTGTCAAAAATTGATTACTCTTAAATATAGGATAAAGAAAATAACTTTTGTCTGATATTTATTGAGTTTTTAGACATTAGAAATCAGACTAAAGTTTAAAGTTATTTTCTTCATGCTATATTTTACTTGAAAATGGTTTAACAAACCGAAACTGGTCATAACAAATAAAAACAAAAGTTATTTACTTTATCTTATATTCAATATGAATTTCTACAAAATACAAAGGTCATTTGAATTGAAAGGGTTTTATTTTAGTAGAAAGCCAAAAACTTTCTTTCCCAACAAAGGTCATCAATCGAACAAGTGATTACTCTTAGATGATGAAAGTGCTGATATGTCATCTGTCACAGTGTGTCTATGTTATGTAGCCTGAATGAATTTAATTAAACCTTGTTAATGTTCAATTTCAGATAATTTTTTAAAAAAAGAATTCTAGTCCATTCAGTTCATTGAAAATTTTGCTTCAATCCATTACAGTTTGATACGTCAAAAATTATAGTTGTATCATCAGCAAACTGAAAAGTGTTGAAGTTATTCATACTTGGTAACTCATTTGTCTAGTGTATGTAAAGCAACGGCTCCTAAATCTTGTGTAACACCGTTATGAAAAAGTTTGTGCATCAGATTTGGTGAGTTTACTCTGAATACAGTATTTTTTACAACTTTCTGTTTGTGGTTGTATAAATGCTAACAGGTAAAATTGGATACTTCTCTAATTCTATAGGTTTTGAGTTTGTGAAATACTATTTGATGATTGTCAGTCTGAACTAATCATAAAAGTGTGTTTCTTTGACTATTAATTATTGTGTATAACTCATGATACCTTGCTCTTGTCGTACTTCTAGAAAAGCAATGCGACAATTATGTATGCTTTTCTCAAAGATTTTACTTATATTGGGTAAGGTTGCTTATATGAACATTTTTTTGTCATTAGGAAAATATCCCAGAGCATCGAATTCACAGGTAAGTGTGATAGGGCTATTAAATAAAACTGCATATGAGCACCTCATTTCAAACTGCAAAATTTTCTCCCTACAAAAAACTCCCAGAAATTATAGTGACCTTTGGTAACACGAAGACCCTACCTTCCAATATGAGACTCATGATAAAACATGCAAATTCATCTGAAGTCGGCTCAACCACATTGCCGTCTAATTGACAATAATTTCGATTCATATATTTTTTTAGTTACCTTCAGTGGTCTTTTGAGCGGGCTATGCTGTGAGTTATTCTCATCTATTATATCCATTAGTTTGTTTCTGAAGTAATTGAAAGATTGATCTTGCCACGAAGGATGTGGTACAGAGCTGACATTATACTTTGGCCAATGTTTTCGGTTCCCTACAACATGAAAAACCTAATGAAACCATTAAACACACCACATCTTTTTTACCTTTTGCTAAATGATAGGGATAGTAATCAATTTGAAGTTGTTTCAGAGTTACTTGTAATGCACCACCATCCTGCAAATTGGGATGAGATGAGCGCCCACCTGAAAAAGATGATTATTAATAAATAATTTTTTATTGCTAGAAAATATTGTTGAGCATATGGCTTATTGATTACTTGGGAGAATAGGGATCATAATTTCATTGTTACTTCCTGAAACTCAAATTATACAAAAATATACTTCTGAAGATTTGCATCTTATTAGGTTGAAAAAAACCAGGCCACCAAACGCGGACTGTGATTCCGAGAATTGCATTTACCGGATATCCTGTGCGTGCGGAAAATCCTATATCCGTGAAACTAAGAGGCCATTGAATGTTCGCATTGCCGAGCACAAGATACACACGCAGCGAGGGGAAACCGAAACCAGCAAATCAGGAATAGCAGAGCATGTTTGGACCCATCAACATAGCCAAGCTAGCGTAGAGATACGCAACATATGGAAACCCATAATCAAGCGAAAAATTGCCAACTTCCGCCAAACGGTCATCTCCCACTGAACAGGTTAAGCGGAAAAAGTCATCTCTCGGAGGAATTACTCCAGTCATCACCCGAAGACGATTGTGGATACTAACAATCGAAACGTCGTGAAGTAACTTGGCATGGAATCTCTTAACTTTTTATTTTTTATTCAATTGTTCTATTTTTATTTCTTTATTTTTATTTTTTATTCAATTGTTCTATTTTTACTTGTATTTTATTTCACTATTATTTCATTTCAGGTTTTTTTGCTGTTATAATTGTTATTTTCAGCTATTTTTTTAATTCTTCTTCTTTTTTGTTAGTTCTTTCAGGGATTTCAAATCATTTTATATATAAGACAATGTAAGTCCAAACTAATGAAATTCAAAAAATAATTAAATGAAATGCTCATAATATGAAAAAAAAAAATGTTAAAATACTTTTGTGAAATATGATAATAATAATTTCATCGATTAAGAATCCTAATAGCAAAATTTTCATTATTTTTTGTTAAATTAGAGTTGTTAAGGATTTCAGACCTTATTTCTAATGGTAATAGTGATTGAATAATTCACCATCAAAATAGTATAAGGAATTTCTAATTGAATTTGCGACGGGAATGGTGAAATTTCTATTTCGAGTAGCATAAGAAGTGGAAACAAAATTATCATTTGATTTTTTATATCCTGCGAGCCCAACAAGTATTTGCAAAAAGCATGCTTTCGAAATTTAAAATTAAGGGCATGAAGAAAAGATCTATTCAGAAAAAGCGAACACACTTCATGAAACATTATTATATTGAAAGAGGAATGCATTTTAGAAGAGACTAATTTTTGAGAAGAAGATTTTTAACTTTCTACTTCTTCATCTTTAAACAAAAAAATGCATGAAACTTTCGAAGGAAGGAATCAACTAACTCCGAAATAAACACTTTAATAGTTATGTAGATCATGCATAGAAGTTTCTATCAGATACAAACTGGAAGAAAAAGTCCTGTCCAATCAACTACTTTCTTATGAACATTGAATCACATGGAAAACACTTTTTCCCATTCAGTTTGTACTTCAAATGTTCGTTATGAAGTTCAAATAGATATCATTTACAGAAACACCACACAACGTAATATATGAAATAGAAGTGATATAATATTTCACTTATTTGGAATTCCATCAATCTCAAGGCATACTTTGTCGAAGTTTCAAGTTGAAAACACTTGTCTTCAACATCTCGTCAGTACCTATTTGAACTTTTGAAGATGAATTATTATTATTATTATTTATTAATAGCAGTCGATGTATTGGCAATTGACGAACACAATTCAAAATATCACCGATGAACTGTAATTTGGCCAAAGTCGTGCTCAACTCTACTCGTGTTCTCGATCCTTCTATGTGGTGAAGTAGTGTAGATCTACCGAGCTACACTACTTCGAGGAAAGGTTTGTGTCCCAAATTGCAGAGACCATGGCAAAGTCGATAAACGATCTGGTGTACAGGATCCAATTGTCACCCAGAAACAAGCCTAAGGTTTTCCATGCAGAGCAACTGAATCCATACATAGGTCGTGATGTATCCACTTGGAATGTTGTTCGGGGTGAACAACTTCGAGGAAGGGGGTAGGGTAGTGCTATAAATTATTCCCTGAAGAAAAGTAATGCCGGCCGCCGCTGGTCATCACCGATCGATTGTGACTTGGCTAAGATCGCGCTCAACCCTATTTGTGTTCGCTAGGTGTGGCGTCGCTTCGAAAATTATCCCATTAGCTTTCAAAGACATCCATAGGGATATATAAACACTACCAACAGGCAGAGGAGGGAGTCTAGTTGAAAGTGCGGTACGAAGTGGGCTAATAAGTCGATGGATATTTGAGTTTGAGTTTGAAGTTCAATTATGATTTTTGTGTTGTATTGACAGTGTAATAGTGAAAAAAAGTTGAGTTCGATTGTACAGTGTGGCAATTATTGTCGAACCCACAGGAAAAACGTAACAATACTGTCTCTCTGTTCGGGTTTGAAGGCCGTCGTGGTTTAGAACTGTACCCCAACGTTTCGCCAGCACGAGTAGCTGGTTCACCACCAGGATGAATACACCTCTGAAAAAGCCAGTCACTCGTGCTGGCGAAACGTTAGAATACAGTTCCAAACCACGACGGCCTTCAAACCCGAACGAAGATCGTAACACTGAAAATCTTGGCCGCGAAAACCTTAATCAATTTATGAATACTGACTCTCTCTCTATTTTGTTTTTGTTTTGGCTAGTTCTCCTGCTATATGTCACTCATGTAACAGTAGCTTCGTCCGAGGATACAGTTTGTCCTGCCTTTCGCAGAAGTTATGCAGATGTAATGAAAAATTATAAGTACACGCAACCAAAATCAATTATTAAAAAACCTGAAAAGTGAATAATAGTAATAATAATATTACATTGTTCATAACAAGGCAGAAGTAATAACAGAACGATTTATAATTATAATGGATAAATGGATAATGGAAGAAAGTGGCAAAACAATAAAAAAGGTTTCGTAGGTACAGAGGATATATGTTGTTTAAAAGAAATCGTGTATTTTTCATTCAGAAACACTTATATTTTGAATCTATCCTCGAGTTTTTTCAATGTGCATTTGATCGCATAGCTACTCATGGTCTTTAACGTGTTTGGGATGGCGTTATATATTTTAATCATGGTAAATGAGAAGAATTTTTGGTAAAGTGTGGTGTTATCAATAATAATACCACAAGACCTCAAAATTATATGGATAAATTTTCATTTTTTAACAGAAACTTTGTTATTTAGCAATACCACGACAAAAAGCATGATAAAGACACAAAGTTTCAGTTTACAAAAAAGGATATTTATCTGAGGAAATTTTTAGGTTGAGTGGCATTCAAATATTATTTCCTGAAATGTTTTCTAGTTACTGTCATAATCCTAATATCAAATAAAACCTGTGAATTTCTGTGGAAGCATTTATACAATTTCAGACATTGGAAGACTTAAAATGTTTTCATTTTTAAAGACTGCCTTACTCCATTCTGTTGATGATATTCATACATGGATCATAATATTCATTTCTGATCTGTAAAAATTCTGTTGATATGACTTCAAGCAATAATGAAAAGATGACTACATCAAGTCATGATATAGGACTTTCAATACATGGGATGATATTTTTTCTCTTATATTTTGAATCACATAAAAAAGCGAACTTGATTTTTCAGTTACTTCTAAACCTGAGACTCCTAAGTTTCAGAGCCAACTTTAAAGCTAGACATTTCGTTCTATCAGTTACTTTGGTAGGTTTATTGTTGATGTATATATGAGTACTGGAATTTTATACAAACTGCTTATATGTCGTTTTTGTTGCGTTTAATGTTAGACAATTTTCTTGACAGTAATCACTGAATTCAATAGATGCTCTATTACAACTATCAATGTGTTGTTCAAATTGATGATTTGTTAGAATAAAATATGTATCATGCGATTTGAATGATTCGATCAGGAATGCCAAAGTTCTATTAATATCGCTAATGAGAATGATAAATACAGGGAACCAAGAATCAAATCCTGAGGTACTCCTACAATGGTTTTCATTGGTATTGAAAATTAATTAAGAGCAAAGGTTTGGAAATGAATTGACATATATGATTTTATACGATTGCATGGTGACAGAAAATTAAGTTTTCCAGAATACGTTTTGCTTTTTCACGAAAAAGCTACTGTGATAGCTAAACATGCAGTCAATAAGGGGATGGTAAAATAAGTGAACTCTTTTTTCTGTTCTAGCTTTTGAATCTTTATTGGCTCTTCATCAGGAACTGAAAGTGAAGTTAGTGATCCCTTTCACTTGCCGTGATTTGTAAACATAACATTTCCCAAACGACAAAAACTCTTGGTAAAAAACATCATGAAAATAATAACTTTATATTATGTAATGATTGATTAGATTATTTGAAATACTCTCAGTAATTATTAAATCATAGTCTCCCATGGAGACTATGATGGAGTCACAGAGGAAGCGACCTCATGGGAGACTATGATTTAATAATTACTGAGTGTAATTCAAATAATCTATCAATCATTACATAATGTAAAGTTTTTATTTTCATGTTGTTTTTTACCAAGAGTGTTTGTTGTTTGGGAAATGTTATGTTTACAAATCACGGCAAGTGAAAGGGATTACTAACTTCACTTTCAGTTCCTGATGAAGAGCCAATAAAGACTCGAAAGCTAGAACAGAAAAAAGAGTTCACTTATTTTACCATCCCTTTATTGACTGCGTACCCGAAAAATATAAAAGATTCTTCTTTAACTTAGACAGTCTTCGAACCTTCACACAAACATGTTTCAATTGTTAAATGTAACATTCTTTTCGACACGGCCATCCTCACTAACAGTTAGTTTAACCTTTTTTCAACAAATTAATAATATTGTATTATCATCACTTTTTAATACTTCTTCAGTTCAAAATATCCACGTGCTGAAAATAGTTTCGTCAAAATTACCAGTGGTATTTTTTTTTGGTTGAATTATGGATTATCTATTTTCCAATGAATAATTGATATAAATTAATGAAATTTTATTTTCACAATTTCCGGAAAATGTATCCATGATAATGTAACTTCCTCTACACCAACTGAAAGATGTTTCAATAAAAAAAGGCCACTGTTGATTTTGAAAAAAAAAACGGTTTCTAACACATTGATATTATGATTAGGGCTTTTTTAAGATCAACATGAAAATGAAATGTTAAAATGAATATTGTGAATGATTTTTTTTTTCAGGAGTACAAAAAGGCAAGTCTTCACAAAATTACCTAAAAAACAAATAATTTTTGTGGAGAAAAATTTTTCTCGAAAATATTCAGAATATGTAGAAAAATAGTTTCCACTTGAGTTACCCACAACTTCAATATTCTAGTTTTTTCAATAAGAGATTTAGTTTCGGTGGAAATTGTGAAAAAATACAGTACTATTTTTGCATTGTTTTTCTGATTCATTCTGATAGCTTCTTCAGACCTTTACGCGCCTGAAGAAGCTATTGTATAGCGAAACACGTGTTGCGTTTTTGTAATGAAGTAATGTAACATTTTATATTATTCAAAGATTTCAACCAAAAATTTAAAAATAATTGAAAATTCAAAACAATCTTGAACATTGCCCACCCACAACACGAGGCTAATGACCACAGCAGTCGATGCAGTTGACACCAATAAATAATAAAAGGAAATATAATATTTATTGAACATTAACAGTATATATTGACATAAAATAGTAGGGTCTTATTATACCTTATTTAAGAGGTATTTCAATTCTCTATATCCAACACTGTTTCATTTTTTAAGATCAATTTAGTCGTTTCTTGAGTAATTAATACTTTTATATTGTATTACGATTTTGCCATCTTAGATAAATATCATATTTTCAAAATTATTCAAAAACTCACTTCAGTTGATTTTGATAAATTTTGAGGATGTTCACCATTCACTTCTGATAAAAATAAATTTTGTTTACAAATTTTTTCCTTATATTATGAACGGTTCCTGGGGTACTTTCATTAGGTTGCTACTGTTGTGTAACATATACTTTGAGGGACCACATTTGAAAGAACAGCTGATCCAATTACCAAAAGTAAAATAGTGCAATAAAACTTTCTCTCTGGGCTTTAAGGTGAATACAACTAGTGGATTCACCTGCTCTAGTGGAATAATTTTATAGTCTTCTCAAATGGATGACTCTGATTTCTTATGGTTACAACTATTAAATTTGACTATGCTATTACGCACTTGCCAAATCTTGATGAAAATCTGAATGTAAACACGATTTCAAATAATGAAAATTTATTCAAAATTATGATTTTTACATACCATGACTATGGCCAGTATAAATCATCAATAACAATTTATGGAAGTAGATTAGATCCGTAAAGGTTTAAAAAAATTATTGTGCAGTGAAGCGAGGTTTTGACTGTTTCAACTTCCACTGGTAAATGGAAGCAATATTTTCCAGAGTGAAATATAGAAGAAATAAGGGGTTTTTTATACGTGCAAAAAACATTTGCTCTGCTATATAAGCAACCAGCCATATGGACAAATATATTGAGGATGGCTTTGCCTTTCGAGACAATTTTCCTTAAATCTGTGAATAAACAACAGGCCTACTGAATTATTGATAACATTCAAAATTTAATAAATACATAGATGGATAACAATATGAAAACTAATACAAATGATAATAAATACAAAAAAAAACAGCAACTAAGTTGAGTAAAAAAATGAAATGAACATACAACAAAGGGTTTCACTTGAATTGAATAGAGAATTCAAAGACTTATCAAACGAAGTATAACAACACCCCCTTTCCATTTAAAAAATAAGTTGGTAGCGTCCTCTCGGCGACTAAGGATGCAACACTATCGGCTTTCTTATCAAAAAGTACCAAGAATACTGCTTCATATGAAGAACTGCATTTATGTCAAATAAACTTTCCGAGAACATTTTTCCAAATGTTTTTAATCTCCAGCAATTCGATGTGGTTTCGGATGATGAATAAATTTTGAGTGATTGCTTATTCAAGTTCACAATCCAAGTATCCACTACATATGTGCATATGGAACTGCAATGATTCATATAGTGACAGTTCTCGCAGTTAAAAAGCTGGAAATTTTCTAAGTTTGTGAGATAGTCCACATCTGTCATATTTCTATAAGTTTTCTTTGGTTGCAAGTTGAGAATTGTAGTGAACACATTTATGTGACTGTTCCACATGATTATTTCTGTGTGCTACTGAAATTTGTAGAATTTGAAGTGTACTTAGTCTGTCTCACAAAAATCTCGAAAAGGCTGTATAAAAAATGCCGGTTTACAAGTGTTTGCTTGTGAAGTGGGATTTGATTGATAAAGTACAGAAGTTGATTGCTGAAATAAATAAACTGAAAGAAAGATAAGTTGATGGCTAAGGAATATGAGATCAGACAAGTGATTGATACTAATAATAACAAAATGGAGGATGTAATCTCTGCCTTCACAATTGTATTAAATAGTAATAAATGATACACAAGAATGCTTAGTCTGCTTCCCAACTAACCATAATTGCTGAGACCCAGCTTACTAATCAAATGAAAATGCAATATACAACTTTCAACCCATAAGACTTCAAAATTAGTCGAAGTTATTCATATAACTTTTGTATTTTTTGTTTCTTACAACCAATTTCTGATATAAAGACTTTTTGAGATGCTTGTTTGACACTCACCTAGTTTTCACTCAAGTTGCTGTACAATTGAAAATGTAATGGTATATCGCACCATGTTATATTGGTTTATTCTTTTATTTCTTTCACAAAATGCTATCAAAATCTTCTGAAAACTTACTGAATTTTTTTTTACAATATTCAACTATTCTTAAATACATGTGATGTAAATAAAACACTCTAGATAATGAAGAGCTTCATTTTTGGTATGGACCTGGTGGTAAAAGACCTTTTGACAATGGTTTAATTTTTATCATATTTGTAATAATATGAACTCACCTCTAATTTTCTAGCTGCTTTTACAATTCTTGTCATTTGTGTGGCTTTCTGAACAAGATCTGTAAGTGACTCTAGGAAATGCAGAACAGCTTTCAGCTGAGAGTCGGTTAAAACCCATAATAATTCATCTAATATAATAACTAATCTGGAACCAAGAATGAAACAATCTGAAAAGAAATAAAAATTATTTGCATTGTTATATGTGACCATGCACGGCGAAAGTTAAATTTTTCATAGTATAATTAAATATCACAAGTTGCCCATTAACCTTTTCTGCGATTATCATCTCAAGATGTCGTGAGTTTCAAATCCTTTGCATTATTACTTGTCCATTTTCTATTTCTGTTTCTTTAAAAAAATTATCTTTTATATTCCATTTTCATGATTTATTTACTTCCACTTGATCTTTATTTCAATATTTAGAGGTTCAAATTTGTTGAAAACTTTCGGATTTACATGAGGGGGAGTTACTAACAGTAAAAAAATATCAGTGGCGCTCAAACATATTTTCAAAAGTTAATTTGTCTTTTCTTCTTTTGCATAAGAACTGTTTTTTTTTCATAGGGTTGAAATATATTATTATTTCTCAAATTTTTGGTTGACATGCATTGAGAAAAGTTTTGCAGTTCTGATTTGTGTTGGATATGAATGTATTATTTATATAGGATTTTTTCTTTATAGGTCATAATTTGCAAAGAGATTTAGAATTAGTCCATAACTTGTCAAAAGCATTTGATTGTATTAACCACAGAATACTGCTGCGGAAGCTACATCATTATGGAATTGCTGGAACAGGACGTAGACAGTTTGTTAAAACCAATAGTTGCTCAAGTACAAAGAACGTGAAAGCAGGAGTACCCCAAGGATCGATCTTAGGACCCATACTTTTTTTTACTATATGTAAATAACCTGGCTACTGTACGTATTTCTGGTAGTTTCAGCATTTTTGCAGATGATACCACACTTTTGTGGCATAATATAAATCAATAGAATTTATATGAAAGCATCTATAATGACCTCAGCGAAATTAAACAATGGTGCGATGCAAATCTGCTGTCATTCANTATATATTTACTTAACAATTTATTAATATTAATAGTTATTTTTTTTTTGCAGAAAAATGTTTGTCGACAAGATGTATTTCTTATGACATTAAACATATATTTCTTACGGATCAAGTCAATTATCCATGCACCATTTCTAAGTCATTAATTGTGTGATGAGTGTAAATTGTTACGTAGATAATACTTTATTGAAGAATCGACCAATTCAATGATTTATGCATAATTTAAGTTGAAAGGCTGGGAGTACTCAAATTACTTATTTTGTGAGTCCCACAAATTTGATACTTGTTCTAGGACTAAAATTAGAATAAAAATCTGGGCTCTCTTCTTATATTTTCGGATTATTGTGGCGCCATACAGACATATTCAATAACAAGGCATACTTTTTTATCTGCTGCTCATAAGTTTTCGATTCTATAGGATTTTCTTCGTCTGTTTCTTTGTGACGCAAGATGTTAATACAGATTTTTTTTCAACTCAAACGACTGGGATAAAAAAGTAGATTGTAATTTGAAAAGTGGCGTTTTTGAATCGGTTAGAAGTTTTTTCTCAACTGTTCAATATACTAAAATGCCAGATAGCATACACAATTGTTTTTTATATTAGAATAAAACGTCAGATGAAATCGGGGTGCAACTAATACAATCCAAATGCGGGGTATCCCCAATGAAAACTATGAGCATTGGAATTACTATAGAATTACTAGCTGCAACTATTGGAGCCCAATTATTGAATAAAATTTTGGAAAATAAATTTTGATTTTGATTTACCTGTATTTTCTTGGCCAGAATCAATAACGGTATTTATATGTATATATTTATATGGTATTTAAATTTATATGATTTAGAAAAACCCGAAACCTATGGCTTACATAACATTTTATTTGCAAAAGATTTATCAATGGCAAAAAAGAAAGGAATTGTTTTTTCGTTTGTATCCAATGAAAATGATGTGACCTCATACCATAGTTTTTTCTCAGATTATGGTGAAAGGGGTATTTTTTTTGAGAGAATAATTTTTGAGAAAGAAAGCTTTTGGCTTTCTACTTCTCCATCTTTATAAAAAAAAATGTTGGAAATTTCCAAATAAGTGTAGCTCATGCATAGAAGTTAACTCCCTAGATTTCTTTGCCACCAAATAGAGTACAAGAAACTTGCATTTTTGAAATAACGGAAATATACATAACTGCACATCTTTTAACAAATCCGGAGTGGAATGTTGGATTTTGTTTACTTGTGCCATATTGAAATCAGTGCATTTAGAATAAGTTTCGTTATTTTCTACAGAGCCCAAACACAATGCATTTATGATTCGACACCAGACAACACTTTTTCGACCTGCCATAGCAGTGGTGCTAGGCTGAACCACAAATGCATTGCTGGACTTAACTGTACTTGAAGAACAAGCCTGAGTAAGTAACGGGGATGACATCTCCCCTTACAAAGATGCCATCTATTGAATCGACAGAGAACTCAAATATAATCGCGGCGGTGGTAGTGTGCCCGACNCTTGCATAAATAGAATACTTATGTATCTTCCAGGTAAAGAAAGATATGATATTGAGAATTATGTTATGATTCATTCAAGTTTAGCTGAGACAATGGTTATCCTTCAAAAATAGTCGATAAATTATTCAGGAAGCATAAAATTAGTGAATGTTGTATGAAATTTACTGTCAGTACGCATGAATGAAGTTGGGTTGGGTCTGATATTTTAAAAACGGAATATAAAAATTGCTTATTCACTTCAACAGGTGTTGGGCAATTCAAAAGACAAGGTGATCGAAATCAAAAAGTCTGTAATTGTTTTGGAAATAGCTAACTGTGGCATGAAAACTATGAACAAGAATAATGATCCCATTTCAGCTCACACAAATTTCAAATTCTGAAGGTTTTCGGTTACCAGAAAACCACATTCAACACACGTTCAAAGAGCCCTTTGTGAATCAATTTGTAAGCCAGAAACAATTGAAGTATTACTGAAAAAAGTTGATTCTGTTATGTATAACTCTATTCATGAAAATAATTATATTATTACATCAAACTATTCTACAATGTCTTTTATATAACAGTAGGTAATGACAAAACTTATCAGATAAATGATTAAATCTTGTTAAATAAGTTGAATAATGGTGAATGAATAACTTCTTGTTGATCGTTTGAAAGAAAATTTGAATATTTGCGTTTAATTGATTTCCAGAGATTCTAGCAGGTTTAATTTTTGTCCATTATTTTCTATATGTAATATGTTGTAGTCCATGTTAAAATAGTGGTTATTCTCTAAAAGGTGTTTTATAAAATTCAATTTCTCTGTGGAGATTGAGATTCTGATGAGTCTGTGGATAATGACATGGTAAGCTGCTAACATATGTTGATGAGAGTGATTAAAATGGTTATTGATAGTTGTGTCTGTATGGGTTAGTTTGTGGTGGTGGTAGTGTCTTTATATGTATGTATCAAGTTGGGTTTAGGAATTAATTTAGACTATTTGTACTCTCATTACAAGAGTTCCTACTACTTTTCAAAAACTAGTATAAATTAGAAGTTACTAGTTCAGAACAAATTAGGAAAATTATAATCAGCAACTGAACTTGACAAAATTTCTATTGCTTAGAGGGGTTTTATTTTATGATATATCGCATTACAAATATTTAACTTCAAATTCTGAACCACCACAAATATTTGTTTCAGAAATAAATCATGCTACCTGAAAGTCTTTTTTTCATCACTATTCTACATCTGGCCTGGTTAGTCAGAAGCCTCAGAGGTGTCAAATCCTTATCAACAGTAGACTTTGCTTCTATTCTCATATTTTGCCAAACTAATTCTTTGAATATTAAGAGTTGGCCCTTCTCTTGGTTTTTCAAACGTGTCATTCTCAAATCTGACTGAGTAAATTTTGGCGTTTTAGACTCCACCAAAATTCTTGTTATCTGAAATAACAAAAAAAAAGTATATAATGTCATTGTACTTTTATCAAAATATAATTAATTATTTTCTCTTTATGACTCCTATTCAATTATATGCCAACTCTTTCGACAGCTGGTCATGCTATCATTATAAAGGCTTTACGTAGAGTAGAGCCTTGTAACGTATATATGTAACATGTAATATATCGAGTAGAAATTAGCAGAAAATTTGCAGTAATGTAAAACAAGTAAGATATAGGACTTCGTATAGAGTTACGACAGCTCTCCGAGTATTAAATTTACATAATATGAAACTGAAAGTAGGGATTTATAATTCGATATGTACACCTGTACTTTAATAATTATTCCAGACAGCTCCTTCTATTGTCCATAACAAAAAATGACTGAACTACTCTTCTTTCTAAAGCAAGATGCACACTGCAACAGGACGAGAACATAACAGGTTGTGGTCTGTCCTTTGCCTCCTTCGCACACTGTGGGAGGGCGAGATGCCACATCCTGTTTCCCCACCTTCTTCCTTTCCTTCCTGCTCGGTTCCTCCTCTGATTTCCCCTCTCGTATTTAATATCTCGATACTAGTATTGTTAACAAAGACTCCCCTTTCGGATTCTGATAACTCATCCAGTGAGGATATTGTAATTGCAACTTTTACATCGTAATATAATTTATTCAAACAAAACAGGGCATTGTTGACGTCTGAAGGCAGTGTCTTTATAGAGCACTAAAATCCAAGGTCAAACATACGCCGTGAGGAGGAACGGAGCAGAGATGGGAGGATGGCCTGGGACAGGCACAGGAAGTTTACGCTCTTCGAGTGGCATGTGCCTGTCCGTTGCCTGCCTTAGTGCGCAACCTCCATAATAAACTATAGGAAGAGAAACGAAACTTCACGTCATGTTCCCTTCCCGACATATTCCCGTCCTGTCGCAGTGTAAGCCTTGCATAAATAGAATACTTATGTATCTTCCAGGTAAAGAAAGATATGATATTGAGAATTATGTTATGATTCATTCAAGTTTAGCTGAGACAATGGTTATCCTTCAAAANTTGGAAGATTCTCTCATCCCCTTTTTTTGTATTTATGATTTCTACTTACAAAATAATTGAACAAGATTACTATTTTGTACTTATTTCATCTCGTTTAGAATGATAGTGATTGAATGTATGAACTCGATTGTTGGTGTCGAATTTATTATTTATATAATTACAATTTACATATGTACCCTAGAAGGTGGTATGCATGAGGGGGCCTTTACTCTTTCATAATAACAATATTCCAACAACTATACTCCAACCTGCCCTGCCAAGACAATTTTTATCCATTAATTTTACTGACCCTTTTTGTAACCTTAGTGTTCTATGAAAAACATGTTTATAACGTTAGCCCTCCCAGAAAAATCCCTATCTGATATTCAATAAACAACTTTAACTGCAATACAATGTGAGTATCTTCCTATACTAGCAGATGATGACATTTCTTGCAGATCAGTTGCAATTTTTTTTTTGTTTTTGATATGAAATATGTCTACATAAAAATCTTTTAGACATTATCAGTATCTTCTCCTACCTTTTTGAATTTGTTCAACTTCAGAAGCATCCCAGACGAAAAATCAAGAAATTTTCAGGAGTATTAAAGGTATGGGTATGTATGTATTTTAATGATTTGTTCATTACAGGATACTGAAGAACATGATAAATAGTTTCGGAAAAAACTTTAAAATATATCTAATAAAAAAATGAATATTTCAAAATGGAATCTTGAAAAAATTCTTATCTCCTAACGTACCTACACAGTAGGTTCTGGTAAATGCCTGCCAGAAAACAACTACTTTCCAGCTAATACCACGATGGACACTGAATTATATCCGACAGACATTCATGCAAAATACCTCACAGAGGTTAGTCTTGCAATGTTTCTCTTTCGTCCAGCAGCAGGACCACATGTTTTCTAGCAGGTATTTTCCAGAACCTGCTGTGTAGGTAAGTAGGGAGAGAAGAATGTTTGGAGATACCATTTCGAAATATTAATTTTCTTAAACGTATGTTTTTCATAGATACCGTCTTCAGACTTATTTTGATTGAAATACAAAATTTTCCAAAAAAAAACCAAATCTAATTCACCTTAGGGTTAAAGCCAGATCCACAGAATAAATCTGAACTAATGAGATTTCTGGGTACAGTAAAATTTGTTGGAAAATGCATAGCTAATCTTTCAGCAACTCTGAGAAAATTGACCCATAATAACATCATGCGACAGTGGTCGAAGGAACATACAGAAACTATAAGTAGTGTTTTCCACTAATCAAGCGGGAAAGTAGTCTGCATTGCACTGAACCGTTAGTCGATAAAAGGGAGAGGAGAGTGAGGAGCAGTAAAAGTGCACAAGTGACCTATAAATTATCATGAATAACAGGAATAGGTCAGCCATCATCCGAAGACAATTTTGGATAGTAATAATCAAAATGCTACATTAAATTTGTATAATTTATTTTTCATTTTTTCTGTATATTCACATCAAGTATTGCTAGTGAGAACGTCAGTGGTACCTCACGATAGGCAACCATGAGCACTCTCAAAATTTAACGGGTTCACGAATTTTAATTCAAGGAGAGAGGTAGTGTTGAAAAAATTCTCATCAAGTTTATATGTTATGTGATAAGGATTAGAAGTTCATCAAGTTCATCAACACATTTCTAATAATGAAGATCAGTCTGGTGTTGGATTCCTGCTTTTCTTCAAATATCCTACGCCGCCTACCATTACTTTGAGAACAGATATTTTTGACCTTTGAAAAGAGATTCAAAACTATATTTTTTTAAAGAACTACATTCTCATCCCTAACAGTTTTGTCGTTTTATTTTGGGCTTACCTTTTATTTCAAGGGTAGTAATTTCATTTGTCACTATTTCATATATTCCTGTGGTGCTTTAAAATATTCTTGATGGAAATTTATTCTCGTATTCTATGTTATGTTGAAATTGTGAAAACTTATAGATTGCATTATTGATTCAATATTTGGCATTATCGAAATGGGTTATTAGTCCATATTAATCTATTTGAAAACCACATGGCTCATTGATTGATGATCAATGCATTAGACTACATACAGTGAACACACACTGCTCGCAGAAAAGATTTGCTTTGTCTCAAAGAACTGACACACAATCGTGCTAAAGATATATATTTGAAAAGAGTTGAACTACCGGATAATCCAGTTACCAGGCCAGATTTATTTTTATTCTTTTTTCAATTTTCATTGATTGAATGATTATTTTTACACCAAAATCATGGTGCAAAATGGTAATGCCTCAATAGAAGATTTTGTTCAACGATATATATTTACAATTTTTTATGACCAAACAATGGATATATGATTACTATTATTAGGTTGTTACAAGAGTTTTGTTCGTTTTTGAACTGTAATACCTCAGTGAAATTCGAAAGAGGTATATTTTTAGGAGAGATATTTTTTGATAAAGAAAGGTTTTGGCTTTCTACATGAGGCAGAACTTCTAACGCTCAATTCGTTTAATTATAGGAATTTGTAAAACGTGCGGATGCGCTATGTCGTGGAGCAGGATCGAACCTCTTCTGTTGACCATTGCTGCTGAGGCAATATTCGGTACATTTCTTCGATTTCCAGGCCAAACCATCACAGGACTCTGCTGTGATGGTTTGGCCTCCTTGCAGAAAGTTATAGTGATTTACACCAGCCGCTGACCATCATACAGTAACTGTGGTCTTTTTTCGGTGGGTTTTTGCCTTTGGGAAGTGTCTGGGTGGCTCATCGGTGTCCAACCAATGTCCTGAACGTCTCCTGTTATTTTAGATCCACTTCTTATCACATGTGACGATCCGATCCAAAAATGCAATATTGTGGTTGCAAAAAAAACAGACCTTGAAATGTGTTGATCGTTCAAATCGTGGGTCGCCCACTTTTCTATTGACCTTTCCAATACGTTTTAAACCATTAAAAACCGCATGTGAGCTGAAGCCCACTAACATCCCACGCAATTTGCTATTTGATGAATAGCTGCCATTGCAGGTACCTAAATGGATTTCAATAAAAATATGTAAGGGCAAATTACATCCTGAACTGAAAAAAAAAAAGTTGAAGTTACAGCAAAAGTATGGACCAATCAGAAGTGAGCATTTGTATAAACACTCCGCCATCGCCGCCACTATGTCACCACCATCGGCATCACCACCATACCCATCACCCTTGAAATTATAAATGAGTGAGTGAGCACGTAGCTCGCCTGTAAGTCATTGCTGAGACATTGAGATATGACTTCGTCCACGTAGTCAATGCATGTACTGATGATGTCTACTGCGGTAGCAGATGAAAAGTTTGGTTCTTCGGATTCCATTGGACCACAGCCTACCAACCTGGATTATGTTTACTTCAATCATGATTCCGCCTTATGTCTGTATCATATGGCTACAAAAATCGATGAAAAAAAACTGAGGGTCCGTATTAAAAAAAAAAGAAGGAGTTGATGATGACATCCAATGAACGAAACGTCGCATTCCAAATTGCAGATTATAACAAATATGAAACAGTATTGAAAGTTCCTCTCCCTTTTTTCTTTATGTCATTCGAATTTAATCTAAATTTTGACAGTTGAGTGTTATTAATAATATCAATATTATTTAAGTTACCTGAACTGATGCAGTAAATGCTGGACTATTGAATACTATGTTCACCGTATTTATTCCAACAGTTATTCCATCAATTACTTTGTGAATGAAGCTATATTTGCTAGGTACTCCTCCATAATTGGGTCTGGGTGAGGTCGACGAAACTCGAAGTTCTTCACATGTTTCAAGAGTGATGTATACTTCATCCAAATTCTAAAACAAAAGTGTGAATAAATGCAAAAGTTATTTTTGAAAAACGAATAAAAAAAATCAATTTCAACATCCTGTATTTCTGAAACGAAGCATTTCCGAACACAAATTTATATATATTTTTTCTTAAAATTGTCTTAAGAATACGTCACTTGAATATTTTGACGTACTTATGTTACACGCTGTGAGTAATCAATGTCAGAGTTGTCAAATAAATAAGTGATATTTTTTAAGACGCATTTTCAATGTGAGCAATTTTCGATATAATCCACGAGGAATAATGAACAGTACTGATAGAATCGGTCAACATATTGAAGAAAACATACTTTCGATAATCTCGTCACAAGATTATTGAAAAAATAATTACATTTGAACCAAAGCAATGAAATTAATTTTGCAGTGGTCAACATAAATAAACCTAGTCCCAGTTTTCAAAGCAATAGTAATTTTTTTAATACCTCAAATTAGAAAGGAATCAAAACTATTTTGTTACGTTTAGCAAAAAAACAAGTCATATGCGAGCAGAATGTTGAAAAAGATCAAAAATAATACAGTGCTGAGAAAAATAAGCAAGAACACAAATTCCAGGTCTTCATTGCAGAAGAAATCAATATATGCATAGAGGGTTATGAAGATGTCGGTTTGCATATGAATGGTTTACGAATCTCCAATGTCTACATAGCTGAAACAAATATTACGACGTGAACAGAACATATGGGTTACATTGATTTCAAAACGTCTACTTATTCCAGATTGAAACCAATATAATACAATACAAAATCAATACTTCAGTGTTTAATAATCCCCAAAGTGCTACTGTTTGTAAGTGCAGGGACTGAATCATCTGAAACCTGATCGATTATTTATATGTTTAACTGTTTTTGAATATTTGGATACTTTTTGTTTGATTGAAATTTTTCTCAAAAAAATTGTTAATACCAAAATTGATGAATATGAAATAGCTAATTCTTTCGTAAATCAAATTATGATTGACAAAAAGGATTTTGTTTTGAAAAACATAGAAGTTCGTGGAGTAGTCATAAAAATGATAAAAGATATACTATCGTTACAGTGTGCTATCGTACTCCGTCAGATTTATCTGTTTGCATGGAAATTCTATATAAGATCTTGAGTGAATTCAATTTCAAACTGAAAGTCAAATGGCCCACTAGAATTAACAAAAATAAAGTAAAACCAGTTAAAACAATAGATACACCATGTTGATTCATCAATTTTGATGTCAGTGATGATTAAAATTTAGTTTTGGACAACATCAAGTCTGATCATAGGTCAATTCTGATTTGAAATAAACTTAACACAGCCAAAATGAAGAACATGTATTTAAAGGTCTTCTGATGATTTATCTTCATATAATTTCAAACAAGAACTTTTAAAAGAAAATAAGACAAGTTTGTAAACTCAGCATATAATTATTTTCATAGTATATTTAAATACTATTTTGACGTTAATTTTCCTCTGAGAAATTAAGTATGTGTATCAAATCCAAGAAAATGGGTGAATTGTGAGATAAGAGAGTGCAGCAACTATCTTAAACAACTAAACTATATCAAAAACTTTCCCAAAAAAGAAAAATGGATATCTAAATGCAAAAAATCAGACAAATTCAGACTGAAGCGGCCAAGCGAGATATCAAAATTTTATTTTCAACATTAATAGTAAACATGAAGCAACATGGAATTTAGTATCTGAAATTACAGAGAAATTCAGATGTGGAATTGGCCGCGGTAGTAGTGCGCCCGACTCACGATCGGAAGACCGTGGGTTCGATTCCTGCCTCGACCAGATATTTTTCACGAGAGAATTTATCTGGTTGAAGCTGGGATGATTCTGCAACCGTATTAGGAATCACATGTTAAAAGGTAAGACCTCGTTAGTTCTTAGCTCGCACAAGTTTCACAACTTCTGAGAGTTGTCGTTCGTATGGGGGCGACAGCTGATTAACGGAAAAACAGATTTTAAACAGATTTAAACAGAAATTTAAATTCCGTGAAAACAGTTTTCGAACACGATAATATTAGTATCAAATAATCGAAATGTTTAACAACTGTTTTAAACCAGCTCCTGTTAAAATTGTTGATACAATGAAATATTGATAAATGTAATTTTTCAAAGAAATGGATGGTTCTTGAACTTTTTTTCGAATAACTTCAATTTATTATAAATTAAAAATAAACGACCAAGTGGCCCAGATGAAACACCTCGTTCTTTACTGAAAAAAGTGTTGAGATGTATAGAAGAATTGTCGTTTATTTTGTGAATTCATCACATTTTCCCAAATCTATTAAAATGCGGAAAGGTCACCCCGATGTTTAAGAGAAATAGTCTACTTAATAAAGAAGAACAACAATTTGTCCTGAAAACCCGTCGAGATGACATACAACTGCTATGCCAAACAATATCCAATATAATACAGAATATTGCTTCAACTAAGATGACTATGCATTATTGAAAGAATTCCTGCAAAGCATAAAAACATTTTTCTAATAAATATTTTTTTAATGATTTTTTGAACAGAGAAAAACTGTTCAAGGCTTTTAAATAATCTGGAAGGTGATTATATATCTTTGGACCTATGTATTCTGGTCCACATGATGTTACTTTGAATCTAGCTAATGGCAAGTGAAAATGGTTCTTGGTTCTAGTATCATGTTGGTGAAGTTTTAGATTTGTTGTAAATCTTGATTTATTTTTGAACACATACATACATAGTTCAAAAATATAAACTGATGTTAAAGTTAAAACGCCGTACTCATTAAAAAGTGCCTTGCATGATTCTCTATTAGNATGATGATCCATAGTAATTTCAAAAACTACACCTCACGATTTGATCTCCACAAACTTTATTTGAAAAAATATAATGACAACATGTTTCGCTAGCACAGTAGCTTTTCCAAGTGTATACACATGTGATTATATTTTTTCAAATAAAGTTTGTGGAGATCAAATCGTGAGGTGTAGTTTTTGAAATTACTATAGATCTTCATCAAGTAATGGCCGAATCAATAAGAAAATTCTTTGCATGATATACATATCTTTGTTTAAAGTTACTTTTTTGAAAATGATTGCTTTCTTCATTTCTTTGGAAGATTCCCACATTTTTTTGTATCAAGATGGAGAAGTAGACAACCAAAACTTTTCTTTCCCGAAAATTAACCTCTACTAATATATACCCCTTTTATTTTAAATAAATACTATTCAGATATTGATAGATTTTAGTGCATAATACTTTAATTGCAATTTCGGTGGATTTTCCTTGTCTAAACCTGTACTGAATGAATTAGGGAAGCTGAATACACTTGCTGTAATGAATGAATCGAATAATTTTTTTTTATAGAAGTAATATAATTATAAAATCTTATTGTAAAGTGCTTTCGACTTTCGTCATCATCAGTGCTCACTCGTCAGGCAACAAGTTGTCCTTCATTCACATCACATATTGACCTAGCCTAAATCTCCAACATGTATTTTGTAGGTTAGTAAACAAATCAAATTTTACAAATGTACTATGTCTTTGATAATTTGTCAGGACGTTTCCTACAACCCCACCCTTCCACAAGTACCCTTCAAAAGACAAAATGTTTATTATTTTCTTCAAATTAGTTACAATTACATCAATTCTGATAGGTGTATTAAGTGGAAAATGTACCTACCAATGTTTGAAAGACCTGTTCATTTGGTCTCGACCAATCTAAAAACAATTCATATTCTAATAGGAAATGATAAAAAAAACTTTCAGAACTTTTATTTGTGAAATTACCCTTAAATCCCAACTTTACATTAAATGTAAGAAACTGTTCGATATCAAATAAAATTGATTGTTTAGCAGTACTNGTAAGAAACTGTTCGATATCAAATAAAATTGATTGTTTAGCAGTACTAAAAAGTCAAATTTCGATGTAGCAAAACTCAAAAGAAATTTTTAGTTGTTTAGTGCCTGTTTTCATTCAAAATATTAAGGCTATTTTTGCCCAATTTCTAGAGTGATGAAGGAAGCAAATCATCTACCTGATAGCTTAGACAGATTAAGTACATTTAGAGCAACATTCAAATTGAAGTTTATATCAGCTTCAGGATATTATTTATCTCTTACTATAATTTTTAACATTTGTATTTTTTATATTAATATAATATTAGTATTAGGATTAGTAAGTATAATGTATGTTTTTGTGTTTTATTTCCAACAAAGGTTACCCATTTTTAATAATAATATCTAGAGCAGCATTTTACTTCGAAGACCTCAACCAACCTGATCTTAAAATCTTCAGCAGTCTCTTGACAGAAAACATTTGATTAAAATATTCATTCTGAAAACATTACTGTTAGTAACTTACCAAACATATAGGAACACTCTTCAATTTCGTCCATGGTATTCTAAAATATACCTTATTGCACCAAGCTTGAGTCAACCTCAACCAACACGGCAATTCTAGTAAATCTGTCAAAACAATTTCATCTAGTTCTAAATTGGAAAGTTCTCCTTCACCCTTGAATGTGCTTATATTGATTTTATCTGCCGAAAGGTTTTTTGTAAATCTAAAAAATGAATGATAAATGATTTTCATTAAATGAAATATCACATGTATAATTTTTACCCTATTACATAGATCACAAATAATACTTTTGAGTAAATAAAGATAGTAACAAACAACTAGGCAGTAATCGCTGGGTTCTCTCCAGAGTGAGTATATTTTAATTGCTGGATTTAGTTTTCAATTTCATTTTATTTTTAGTTGTCTCAAGAAAATTTACATTTTATAGACACGTCCAAACCTTAACCCAAATACTATAGGTGAATATAATAATAATAATTATAATATTTATTTCACTTGACAGAATGGTTCAGACTTTCACGGCTGAGGTTTTCAGTGTCATTGCTTTATGAGTGACAGCAAACATCCTGAGCAAGGCACGACCTCCTAAATGCAACATCCCTAAAAGAGAGATTGCAGCCTCAAAGAGCTTGAACTCTGATAAGAGCATCACGATACTTCCAACAGACAAAGTAAATACCACGGTGATTCTGAAAACGGAAGAATATAACAACAAAATTGAAGAACTACTAGACATGGCAAATTATCACAAACTTCAACAGGACCCAACGCAATCTAAGTTAAGAAACGTGAACAAAATCATAAGATCTTCCTCACTGTCCTAAACCACACAGAAAGCCATTTTAAGAACAGAAGCTGTTCCACCTAGGCTCTACGGGCTTCCGAAAATACACAAAATTAACATGCCACTGAGACCGATAGTCAGTACCCGGGACTCTCCNAAAGAACGACCATGGGGTATAGATGAGTTGTGATTATGATCCGAGTAATCTTTTGAATGTTTGGTTTCAGTGACCAATATAGTATTTTTGTGTTAAGTAGAAATTGAATTATGATGATTGCCATATTTTAAAATGTTCGAAAAATTAAATGGAATCCTGAAGTCATGTATATATGAAATGAAATTCATATGTCAGAGTTCAAAATATTTAGAAATTCTCTGTTATTAAAGAGAAAAAAATTTAGGGTAGTAGGCTGTCATCGAATGGAACCTGAAGTACCAAACATTTTGTCTACTACTGCGGCAGAGATCATTAATGGTATATGTGATAACTGCAAGGATAAAAGTGTTATATTTGTGAAATTTGATATGTTGGTGACCAAGAGTAGCTATAATATTCTATAACTTATCTTACCAATGCATTGTTCAATATTTTTGAAAAATTTATATTGGTGAAGCCTTTTGCAGACCTGTATATAAAGTTGAACATTTTCTTTTCTCTACTGGAGATCTGTTCTTACTCAAGGAGAAAATCCATTTTGACATCCACCACAATACTGAGATCTCCTATGAAATTAACTGATTATAATGGTTTGCCTGCTATGGTACACAGTGTTGTAATGAGTAAGAGATCAAGAATAAAAATACATTAACATCCTTGTATATGGCTATACACCATTCTGGACTGAATATTTTCAGTCTATTCTGGATTCCATATTTCTGAATAATTTCAACTCTGCAGCAAACATTGATATTTCAGAGATAACTAATTTTTATTAGTTTTTTGAGTTTATTAGAAGTAAGTAAGAAGTATTGAGTCCTCCACGAAAAAATGTTTTTCACAGAGAATAACTAATTCAAGTTTTGATGTCATTAACAAAAACATTAAATGGGAATGATCCTAAATGGCTTCCATACAGTATCTCTCAGTTGACAGAGATAGAAGTATGAAAAATACATCTTTTGATTTTCACAACTAGCTTTCTTTTACATAAATTTATAGGCCAATCAATCAAGTGCCCATACTAGCCATTTTAAAATAGTTTTAGTGATTTTATAGTTGAGATTATGATTTGTACAAATTGGGATTCCTGAGAATTTTCTAATTAGTTAAATAAATAAATATTTTTTAAAAGTTACTTCAAATTAAGTTGGAAGACTTAAGAATTCATGTTTTCTGTAAGTTATCACTAGATATTTACACCTCCAGGACATTGACATTATGAGTAAGTATATATAATATATTATATATGCTTGGGCATAAATGTTGCCACTGAAAAATCAATTACATTCCTACTAATGACTCAACCACAACTTCTGATTTACAAAAATAGTGCATTGGCGTGAAGTTATCCATAGATTTCTGGCCACACATACTGACGTTGACAAAAATAAAAATCTGTGGTTGGGATTCGAAATTATTAGCACCCGTACTAATATCTATGGCTGGAAATAACCATTCACTATAGGTTGAACGTGAAATTATTAGGACTATTTGGACTAAAACTTTTTCATAGAATCTTGAGTAGATTGACACGTTGATTATTGTTTTCTCATCAACAATACAAATTTAGGGAAAAATAGAATTGGAAATATTAGACTTACTTTCCAATACCCCATATAAAAATGATATCCGATGATGTGCGTCCATCAAAATCACACAACTTCCATAGTTTCTTGAGTAGATTAACTTGGTGATGACAGTTTTCTTGTCATCTAAACANTGTAATTTTCATGAACGCACATCTTCTGGTTCCAATTCTACAAGGTGTTTTAAAAAGTGAGTCTGATTGTTTCAACAATTTCTTTTTCGAAATCTGTTTAGATGACAAGAAAACTGTCATCACCAAGTTAATATTCTCAAGAAACTATAGAAGTTGTGTGATTTTGATGGACGCACATCATCTAATATCATTTCTATATGGGTTATTGGAAAGTAAGTCTAATATTTACAATTTTTTTATTCCCTAAATCTGTATTGTTGATGAGAAAACGATTATCGACGCGTCAATCTAGTCAAGATTCTATAAAAAAGTTAAACACCAAATAGTCTCAATAATTTCACGTTCAACCTATAGTGAATAGGTATTTCCAGCCACAGATATTAGTACGGGTGCTGATAATTTCGTATCCCAACCACAGATTTTTATTTTCCTCTACGTCAGCTTGTGTGGCCAGAAATCTGTGGATAACTTCACGCCAATAAATAGTGCAAAAATCCATGTTTTAATTTTATGTACATTGAAACTTCAGAATTCAATATATTTCTAAACAACATTACAGTACTAAACTGAAAAGACATGAATGTGAACGTGTGGGACGACACATTCTCTGCCTTGAAAAGTTTAGGTGCTAATGAACAGTTTTCTCAAAAATAATCAGTGACATTAGGTATTCATATCAACAAGGAATGTTTGAAATATCACTGAATTCGTTATAAACGTTTTTATTAACGTCTCCTACCACAATATTTTTTGAAAATGAAATAAATAATAATCATTTTTATTATTCTGATAAAGAAAAAAATCATTTTTACCTAGATAAATGTTTCAGTAACTGGTTCTTAATAATAGACACCATGCTGGCATATTAGAAAAATAACTCTGAATTCACTACTATGGTAAATCAATGATAAACACTACATACTATCAACAATCACAATTGAATGTTGAATTATTGTACTCATCTGACATTTTTGACATTTGCACTTTTATAGGTTAGATCTGAGAGATTAGATCAAAAGCTTATGCAGTGTTGCAGGGTTAACAGTTTATGCGAAGTCAGAGACAACCAACTTGTCTCTGGCGAAGTGAACTAAATGAAAGGAGAGCCCGACACAGTGTTGCGTAACTATAAAGTAGTAACCTTGGAAAATTCCATAAAATGATAATTTGGCAATCAACCTCACTTTTATGATGCGATTGTAAACTAACGGAAAGCTTGTTTAACTCATGAACATTAATTGTGATACTTGTGTGTGAATTTTAATAATAATAAACAGAACAATTATAAAAACATAAAAAACTAGTGATTATAGGATGCCGGCAGCTCCGGATCTTCATTTTTTTAGGCGGAGCAAAAACTGAAAAATTCCGCCACCGCCACTTATATTCATTTTTACCTTTATCATTTTCATACTTTCAGCTATCAGATGTCCATCAATTTCAATTGACATTTAAACGTAAGCCTTCCGGAAATAATACGTGATTCAATAGTTTCTGAATGAAAAAACTGCTTTGCCTAACTATGCAAACAATTTGATGAAATATTCAAGTCAATTTTGTGTAAAAAAATCGTTGATATGTATCCCCTCAATCAGGGCCCCCGTAAGGGCTACTGGCGCCTGTATGCAAAAAATTATTTTGGCGCCCCTTAAGGCATTTTGGATCATGTATTTTTATTTATTTTCTTGAAGGTAGGTAGGTAGGTGCTTGCAATAATGCAAAAAACTGAACTTTAGAAGTCATATTTATTTGTAGACAAAAATATCAAAATGAAACAAACAGAATAAAATCATAACAAAATAAATTAAAAGATGTTGTCTCTATTGGTGACATTATGCGATTCTCTTCTCCAGCAGTGCCAACGCGGGATAAAACTGTAACTTCTACCACTTCATTAGCAGGTTGGGAAGGAGATGAATAGCCTTGCCGCCGAAGATAGGATAGGTAATCCCTAAGATTTTTGGACGAAAAATGCGGCATGCTCCGGATGTGTTTCACACCACGGAGCATACATTCTCGCCATGTCTCTTAGCTGTCTCTCAGCTCATGCGTCCACTCAAAGCGTTCGTTGTCATTGTCAAGGTTGTCATCGGTAGACAAATCATCGTCATGGGCCCTACCATCTTGCCTCTGACCTCTCCAAGCGGGTTGATTGAGAGGGCTCATTCCTCGATTACCAGGAAGTAAGTGTTGGATCTACCAGGTGGTCAGTCCTGTAGACTCACGGCCGGTACCGCAGGGAGAATATTGTACTCCGCCCTGGGTGCGCCTGGGCTGCCGGTCCGGTTTTGCACTAATTGCTCGGGTAAGTGGTGATGCAACTCACCAAAGGCCTCAGGTGTCAGTGGTCATCTCTGCTTATCTAATTAGTATTATCATTATCATTATTTCACTTGTTGAAAAGTGAAAGAATACTATAAAAAATTCATATATGAATATTCACAAACAATAACAAGGAGAAAGCCAATAGAAGTAAATAAATACACATACATACAAATGTAAACCAATGTAACAAAGAAAACACTAAATATCACATACTAATCAAAATTAAAATAATATTACTTCTTATTAATATTATCCTTAATTATTCTTATTACTATATAAAATAAATACATATGAATATTCACAAACAATAACAAGAAGAACGTCATTTGAAAGATACATACCACTGCATATAAATGTAATCAAGGATATAATATGAATAGCAAATATCAGTATTTAGTAAAATTAAGAACCTTATTTGAAGATTCATGGAATACTATGCCAATCACGTAAGATGACTGCTCAATAGTTGTGTTTTCATGGCACTCAAATTGCATCATTCCCGTCAAAAGTTATTCGATATCTCTAGGTGTGTTTTATTTACGCTAAACTTTTTCTATATCTGTCATTCCCCCCTGAAATTATTCGCTCCCTCTACTCGATCAAAATACATGGAGCAGAGATAGAGAAAAACTTTTGGAGGGAATTACTCAATCTAGGTGCCAACAAAATACAATTTCTGATCGATCAAAGAGAGCGATTAACTTTTGTCGGAAATGACAGGTCTGGAATAAAATTAGTTCTAACGAAACACACCTTCACACCTAATGCAGTTTATAGGTTTGTTCTGGTTCTAACCTCCGAAACTGTTTGGAAACTGCGCAAGACATGGTGCGTACAAACAAAAAATCTCAAATAGTCCGAAATAGTCTCGGACACTTGTTTAAATCAGAACGCTTTTAAGGAGATCACTGTGCCACCTGTCGTATATATGAAGAGATGAAGACAAGAAAATACTATTAATCATGTCCATTTTGTTATGTAGCGTATCTCTATAGTCAGTTCAAATGTTATCTACCCTCAATAATCAATTATTCAAATCAAATAAATAAAAAAACATCCTAGCAAATAGCCCAAACAAATTTCAACACGAATGCGCATGAGCAACGGGAACAGTTCTCAACAGTTCAGCCTCGAGAGCAAGAACAATTCGGGACGGTTCAAAACAGTTTAGTATAATTTCGCAGTCGAAATCAGAACAGACGATTCATCAGTCCGAAATTATCCTCAATAAACCAGAACGCTCTATTTCAACTGCGCATGATCCTGACGTCCTGAATTTCGTAGAACCAGAACAAACCTTATATGACATGACAGGATGACGCACGACATTAGACAAAACACAATAGACGTCAGTCGTCCGGTCAAACGTCATTGCCGTCACTGGAATTTAGAATTGAAAAAATTGAGATACACGACACTGACGACCGCCGACACGAGGAATTTTTTTTTGGAAAAAGTTTCATGAAAATTAAATTCAAGTGCCGTATTTGCCAATAATGCTTTAGTTTTTGTGAGTGGATTCTTCAATGAACAAGTTCATTTTTTAAGATCCGAACATTAGTTTACCAATATGAAGTTATTCAAGAATAAACTTTTATCTGACGCTCAGTTGAAGAAATTGGGCGAACATCAATATTTATGTCAAAGTGTTAGTATTTTAGATAAATTTCTGCAACCTTATTGGAGTTGGTTGGTTCTGAAAGTGCCAATTTGGTTAGCACCAAACTCTATCACAATTCTTGGACTATTTATCAACATTGTCACAGCTCTGATATTGGTATGGTAAGTAAATATTTCTTTCATTTCCTTTGAATTATAGTGCTATTGTTTTGTTCTATCCATGTGAAGCTTTTTTTTAAATGTGCAAATGAGTTTTTCTTTATGGATAACCTATAATGTATTTGGGTTAGTAAATAATTCGGATAGAATACTTTTAGCTGTTTTTGAGAATTTTGTATGATTTGAATGATTCACCTTCTTATAGGTATTCTGCAAATGACTGATTTCGTTGAAAGAACATTAATCGTGTAGGAAGTGTTTAAAATCTGTTTAAAATCTGTTTTTCCGTTAACCAGCTGTCGCACCCCTACGAACGACAACCCTCAGAAGTCGAAACTTGTGCGAGCTAAGGATTAACGAGGTCTTACCTTTTAACGTGTGATTCCTAACACGGGTTGGGCGGTAGCAAGTGAAGATCGATCGTTCAGATCCCAAATGTCCATACGGTTTCCCTTATTGACTTATTTTATGAGTTTTATGTTCTCTGGTGGGAGGAAATTATGTTTGTTTTGTATGGCGTGTGTTGCGAGGTTTGAATGATTGATTGAATCTAAAGCACATGTAAGATACGTGAAGATATCCAGACAGTATTTATTTTTCTTAAAACTTTCTTCCAATAAATTTGGTAAGAGACGTTATGGCATTGGCAGTCGAGACTCCTCTCTTACAGCGATATTGTTCTGCTACAAGTATACTGTGAGTATCTAGATAGGATGTTAAGTCATTACACATTTTTTTCTTCAAGATTTTAGAGAATATTGGCAGTATGGATATTTATCAAAAATTATTTATTATAGATGGATCTATTTTTTTATAAGCAGGTAATACCTTTGCCATTTTCAATTCCAACGGAAAATTGCCTTGTTCTAGACAACTGTTTATTATATTACATAATGGATCCATTGAAAAATTCACCATTAAAAAAAAATAAATGTAGGTATTCCATATGTCTCCAGTATTTTTATTCTTGAGTCTCATAGTGAGTACTCTGATATCATCAGGTGTAGTTGGTACGAAAAACATAGAATTGATGAAATTCATTTTCAAATTATCCAATAAAGATTCGACACTAATATAAGTTTTGTCCAATTCTAGAACAACTCTTGTCCCGAATATGTAGAATATAGTTAGTAAAGACACGCTTGAAAAAGCCATTGTACAGCAAAACACGTGTTGCGTTTTTGTAAAATTGTTTAGTGAAAATCTCACAATAAAGTGTAAAGTGTTTTTTGAGTACGTTTTCTATATTTTTTCCTTCCTGTTTCACGATTTATAAGTTGCCATACTTTTTTATTATAATCTTCTGACTTTTT